TGACTCAGTGAAAATGAGGCCTGATGGTGATGCCCTCACTGATGGTTCCTCACATAAACCCCTTGTTCAGCCCTCTGATCTTCATGCATCTCTTGTTTCTCCTGTGCTTGTCCCTTGTGCACATCTTTGCTTTCCAATGCTTCCCATCTTGCTGTTCAATCCTGTATCCCAGTTTTATTGCTGAGACATCCGGCTCTAAGTGAGCTCTGGGCCTCTCTGTCCTTTTCTTGTTGTCTCTGTCCCTGATGAAGATCTTCTGTGCTCATTTTATGTATCAAAGGTGAATGGTTCTCTCATATATTTGTTTTTAAGGAATGATGTAACTGGAGAACTGCCAGACATGTGCCCCAGCTGCACCTTATACTTCCAAATCCTCTTTCATTGAACAGGTGAGGAGCTCTGAGACTCCTGGAGCCACAGCAAATTCCTAATGAAGAGGGAAGAGTGGGGTAAGTGGAGACATTGCCTTTGCACTGGGTTACATGTCCCTACAATGGAATAAATGCCCTGGAGTGAATATTCTGTGTGTGCATGATAAGCCTTAACTAGCCCTGGTTATGTGCATCTTGAAAAACATGGCAGGAAAATTACAGATATTTTTCTCTTTGTTTTTAAATTCCAAGTGTCACTTTTTCTTTTTATTTTATTTTTTCCTATGACTAATTGCACTGAAATGTGGATGGGAGGGGGTTTTGGGTTTACCAGTTGGTTAAAAATTATGAATAACTAAAAAAAATTGTCTTTTCCCCTATTTCTGCTGAAAATTGTCTCTCATTTATTTGAGCAAAACCTCTGTCATGCCCCCTGTCCACAGTAGTCTGTGTTGCTGGCATCCTCCTTGTCCCATGGGGTACTATTTTTGGCATCTTCCAGCTTCCTTGTGGTACTATATTCTTGTCTCTGAGTCAAAAGAACTGGGAGGGTTGTGGGGGTGCCAGGTGAAAATAAATCCTGGAAACATTTCTACTTTTCCTGCTGTAAATTTTCCATGAAGAAGGGAAATTTCTAAACAGCTGCAATTTACAGTGCTTTGCTGCACAAGGGGGTTTTAAAACATCAGATCTATTAGTTCTAGTCAATATAGGCCAAGTTATTCTGAGAGATGAAAATTCTACCTAGATCTTAAATCTTTCCTGGCAGTGACAGATGCCAAAGCCTTTCTGGAAAAAAAAATACAATTGTTTTGTCAAAGCTCACTTTATAAATACCTTTTGCTGGAATGATGATGCTTTGTTTGAAACACACTGCAGAAAACTGACAGTGGGGATGGAAAACGCTGACCTAGTTTTATCCAGAACAAAAGCAGGATTTATTTTTTTGTACAATTTTTCTTCTTTTTCTTTTTTTTTTTTTTTTCCTTTTTCTTTTGCTTTCCTTGTAAGAAAAGAGAGTTCAATAAATGCTAGGGCTTGGGGAAGAAGCTGGTAGAGGGAAGAAAAGCCAAGCACCTTCATGGTCAAATGTCCACAAGAAACCTTTATAATCTGTCTGGAGCTCTTGGGCAGGTCAGTGCTGCCCTCTCTGAGATGTTGCTTTTGTTGTAACACTCTCAGCCTTCAGATCTACAAAACACCTTCAGCTTCTGCTCTGAGCTGGATTTTTTGAAAAATAAGATTAAAATGTGAATTGAGGCACCCCCTTTAAATGAGGTGGGATCTGATTTGGCTGGGAGGGATGAGGAATCTGGATGCCAAGCTAGGGAATTTTTTGTTGGTTCTGCTGGAGGCCAGGGGGGCTCCTTCTGAGTCCTGACTTTAAAAAGCTGTCATTTTCCTGCCTCTGGGCTCAGGAAATCCTGTTCAAGTTCCTGGAAGGAAAGGAGAATTAATGGGAAAAAAGTCCAGCACAGCTGTGACCCTTTAAGGTTCAACTTCTGAATCTGCTGAGGGAAACACAATCCTTGCTCTTCTCCTTTCTGTATCAGGCACCTGCTCAAGTCACATTTTGTGGAATTATAGGGATGGGATCTGAGATCCGGCCCTGCACTGGAGGCGCAGAATTTTCTATGACTCCGTGATTCTATGAATTCAGCCCAAACTTTCCAGGTGATGGAGAAACAGAGGGCTCCCAACTGATAGAGGGCACTAAGGGTCTAGATTTTGAGGGGAATTGATGCAGCTGTGATGGTGCTGGAGGCCGGATTGGATGGGCTTGGAGTAACCTGGGATGGTGGAAGGTGGTGGAATGGGGTGGAATGGGATGGACTCTAAGGTCCCTTCCTACCCAAACCATTGTGGGATTCTATGGTGCCAAGGCAAGAGGGGTTGTAGAGGATAAATGGGCACAAATCCTTCTTCCAGAAAAAAAATTCAGGAGACACACAGAAGCTCGACCAAAGCTTTCCTTCTTAAGTCTGCTCAAGACATAATTAAAATCAAGATATGCAATGAAGGAACCCTACAACATTGCCTAATTCTTTTCTCTTCATTAGAGCTTCATGAGTACTTGGGCTCCACCAAACTCTTAATTGCAATGTCTTGGTGCTTACACCAGGCACATCTTCCAGAGCAGTCCAAGTCATTAAAAATTCCCTCTCTGCTTTTTAATCTCTGGCTGAGTTGTCAGCCTCGAGTGCGAGCTCCTCCCTGGGATGCTGCTCCTTTATTGCTCATTGTCAGGAAGGTTTCACTCAGAATTCTCCCCCACTGTGGGGCAAAGTTTGCATCTCAAGCCATCAGTTTCCATCATGGTGTTGGTCATGACCTAAGGGCATTTTTATGAGGTGAAACAACATGAGGGTAAAATGTGATAAAATTCAGCCTGCCTGCCCCAGGCTGTAAGTGAAGCAAACTTTTTTTTTTTTTAGAAGAGGATAATTTGAAATATTGTAATGTTATAATAATATTGTAATATTATTGTATATTCATATTTGCCACCACTGATTTTTCTTCTGGCTTTGCAGCAGAGTGTTTTTTAAAATAATATTAAAAATTACTGGGTTTTATTTAATTTAAAATTATTAGTAGTAATAATAAAATTTACTAATTTTTACTAAAGAATTACCAGAATTAATGTTTATTAAACATTACTAGTTTTACTTGCTGATATTAAAAATAATATTTTCAGTAATACTTTTAAATTAGTATCTTAGTAATATTATCAATTTAATATTAAAATCAATATTAAATTTATTTAAGATTATTTTAAATAATATTTAATATCAACTATTTAATGTTAAAATTAATATTAAATTAAATATTTTGCTAATACCATTTTGCTAATTTCAGAGATATGAAAACTATGGAGAGGCTTGTAGAGCATTGAGATCTACACGAATATAATGAAAAACCCCTGAACAATATAATATAATTTTAATTATTGATAATTTCTATGCATTTTTAATTGTTACAATTTTTTAAAATTTTCTTAAGACTGCACTGTGATCCTTTCAGAAAATCACATCCTTTATAGAAAACTTCATCCTTTGTGGACTGGAATTTCAGAATGTCTAGGGCAAACTATCACTTGGAAATGGTTTTTAGAATAAATGTTAGAAGGCTTTTAAGCATTCAGTGCAAACAGCTGGGTTTTATTCAGTGAAAATTGAATTTTATTGTACAAGGAAACAAAAAATTCAACCTCTAACCTGCTGGCAATGTTAACTGCCATTTTTGTGCCCACCTTTTGCCTTTAATTGCAAATTCAAATTGTTAGAGGTCAAGCACATTCAGAGATCTGAGATTAAATGTGAAACACCCCACAACCAGAGGGGTTTTGCCCCTCACTGCTGCCAACACTGAGGGGTTCCAGTCTGGTGGGTGCCTGGGAGAGGCTCTGCCCAGAGGGGTGGGAATTGCTTGGGAACATCACCAGGGCTTCCTGTGGAGATGCTGAGGATTGTCCAGCTCCAGAGACAGCCCCTGACACTGCAGCCAGTGATGGGCTCCCTCACCTTCTCCAGGTTGTTTGCACCATATTTTATCATTCCCACAAAACTGAGCGTCTCCTCCAGCAGGGGACTGGGAATTTATTTAGCACTGAGTGACCAAACACCCACAGGAGCTTCTGCTGCTCTGCTGTGGGCTTCACCCCTCAGAAATCTGGTGAGTGACACCAGTTTGCCACAGGTGAGAAAAGGAGAAGGAGAAGGAAAAGGAGAAGAAGAAGGAAAAGGAAAAA